AAGCATGTAAAACTGAACTTTTATGGCAAACATTTGCTTCAACTCTTCACCAAGGAGCAGTTTGAAGTCAGGGAACTTTAGTGGTTTCTTCACCCAAAACTGCAAGTCACTGCTATACTGAAGCCATGAGTTGGTGATTGCCAGATCAACAAAGTACAGAACTGCAAGTTCAGGAGGACTTCGTCTGAGTACCATCTCTGATGCTCCCCTTTCTTTCTGCTTGAAGGGCTTATTCCCTATGATCTTCTTCATCAGACAACTCAAGATCTGAGTTTCCCTCAACAAACTGCAATAAATCTATTTCTGCTTCTAAAAAGGACTCATTTTCTGGTCATTTTAAAAAAACAGAACAAAATGGAGGCAATGACTACAAATGGCCACTACGGAGGACATTTTTTAAACACTTCAATACTATACTAAAAAAGTTAGAATTAAGCACACTATGTTTTAATGTGTTATTAAGAGCCTCATCTAAAATATGCTAACATTTCATTGAGCAATTTTTGGCTATAAAAGTTTTATGCACTTACTTTTGTTCTCCCCATAAAATGTGCTTGCAGCGATGGCTGCCATGTTCCTTGATGAAAAAACTAAAGTTCCCAAAGGCCCATCCCTTTACATTTGGTATCATTGGAAAACCCTAAATGCCCTCTGTAGATTCCAAAAGGAGGTAATTCTGTAGTATGCAGTTGATGGGAGATATTCCGGTTTAGAAAGGTCCTCTACAGAGGACAAATTTGCATTGCTGGTAGTCAGGAGGATGTCTGCAGAAAGCTCAAAATTGTTCTGCTGTACATCAGCAATCCCAGCATGGCACAAACATTGTAAAATCTAAGTCACTACTCTCCATTTACATGCAATATAGAAGCTCTTTTAAAGCTTGTGTTTTACAAAAAAAATAATTTCCGATTTCAATTTATCTGACTAGATTTCCACTTTGCCTCATTCCATTCTTTTAATTAGCTTTGACCCTCCCCAAAAAAGATGGCAGCAATTCTGGATTATGTTCAAATATGGCTGCTTCTTTGCATGATAGGGCTTTAAACTGGATCTGTAGATGGCAAGTTGTTCTGAGCCTCTGCAGGGATTTTAACCACATAATAATGCCCATTTTTAATCCAGTGCCTCGTAGCGGCCCAGACGTCATGGTCATCCAATACTGATTTTGGCCCTATACCCCACGCACAGAGATTCTGAATCTTTTGATGATATCAGGTACTGATGATAATGATATTCAGCCCATCTTTACTTTTGCAGCCAAATATCATAATTAGTTGCAAAATCTTCCTCCAGCTGGTTGTTTCTAATACCACTTACTTTATTGTTATTCACATTTTACTCAGTATCTGTACTCTTTTCAAACTCATAAGAACTGTTTGATTTAAATATTTTACTTATTTCCATCATATGAAAAAACAAACAGACACAACACTGTTTAAAGTGTTTCAACACATTCAAGTTCTGACTTCTACTCACCCTTCCAGAAGACTTCAAAAGCTTCCTCTGTTGATTTTACCTCCACCTCTGTGCAGCCAGCCACATACATGTTATGATTCTGATCTTCTCGTAGAATCTTAGATTGAGGTGGTCTACAACAAATTCAAAATATTTCTAAGCAAACACCAGTGAGGTAACGCAATTACATGTTGGTATAGTAAGCAAAGCAGCAAAAGCCAGATGCCAAATAATTGTTAGTGCCATTATTTAAAAAAATAAAAAAATAATAAAAACGCAATCTAGGAAGACATACACATTCATTTAGGGGTACAGACACATGCGCACAGCATTTGCACAAAAGCAGCTTGAAATGTTCAAAGACACC